CTGCGGGAAATTCTTTAACAGACAACAAACACTATGAGCCTAAGTGATGATACTTTTATATACTTTACCATTGCATAGAAATCCTTAACTTAGTGGATCCACTAACTTAACTTACGTGATTATATAAAGAGTATGACCCGTCAATAACCATAATGACTACACGGTTTACATTTAGACTTGAGTTAATGTGAACTATCATCCCCACATCGGTTCTCAATGTTCCCTTTTCTTGTTCAAACCTTTTTTGGAAAATTTTAGTGTCCTCTTAACTTAAATGTAAAAACATTTATGCACTTTCTAGGGATTACTTAGTTTTCTTATATCCTTTGAGAAATGCAATCAACTTTTACTCTTTACTTAGCTTGAAAATTGATTCTTAAAACAAAGTTAAAATGTCTAAATAAGACTCTTGAAAACCTTTAAGAACTTTACTTTAACTTTCTTCTTAGCTTTAGACTTGACTTCTTAACTTCCTTGACTTTGATCTTAACTTTTCTTGAATTGAATAATGGATTAAACGTTCATGATCTCATGTTTATGGATGATTTCATGATGTTTATATGTACCTTAGAGTGTTGGAATCAATTAATAAGTTGGGTACATCACTTGGGAACTAGTACAAAAAGATAGAGAAAGAACGAGGTCTGTAGGCAACGTAGCGCTCTGATAGGCCAGGGCGCCAAAGCTTGATTGACACGCCAAATCCTGACAGATAGAGACTGTCCTGACGGGCTCTGGTAAGCGCGGTGCCCTATGGCCTTTCATACGGGATTTTCGTCTTTTCTTCTCTATTTTTTTAGCTCTAAACCGTCTAAACTTCCACGGATCTCACCCCAATCACATAGGATCACTAATAACCTCAATACCCAATAACTTAGACCCCAAAAAACCTGTAAACATGAATCCAATCAACACAAACATGCTACAAGTCAACCAACAAGAATTTAACCATTGTTCTTCAAAAACTTCAATGTTCATCATTCAATTCTATTATAACTTTGCTGAATTAAAAAAATTGGTGAGTGGGTGAAATAATCCAACACAGAAATATCTCACATACCTTATAGGGATCAACCCCGACGATTTCCACCCGAAGATCTTGCCGTTATTGATAAATTCTTGGCCTTTTATCTTTTCTTCTTCTTCTCTTCCCTTTTCTCCCAAGTCCTAAGCGTGTTCCAATTTTCTAAAACTGACTTAAGGATCAATTTTACCCTAATAAACCCTCAACAAAATTAGAATATAGTAGGGTGAAAAAACTACTTTACCCTTACTAAAATCTGATTGAGACCTTCCTCAGTCAATAAAGCAACTTCTGATAGGCATATCTCCCTCATACGATATCAAAAATGTGCAAAGTCAGTGGAGCTGAAAAGATCTTTCCAAGGTATTTCAAACCATATAAAGAACTGACCCTAGATCAAGCTAAGATCGAAGTTATGTCCATTTAAAATGACCAAAAACTCACTTGTTACTCTTAGGATATTTTCAAAAAAATTTCTATTCTTTCCTAAAATAATAAATTTTAGTTTCTTAGCTTATTCCTAACTATTTCTAGTTAGGGGATGTTACAATATCTTCCCCTTGGAAACATTCGTCCTCGAAAGAGATTTCTTTCACTATGCTAAGAATAGTAACATCAAGTTCAACACTTAACAATCCAAAAACAAGTAACAATCATGCTTAGTCATAGTATATAAAGTACTAAGAAGGGAATTGGTACCTTGATATGCATTCTCTCCTAATTCAAAATGATGTGGATATGTCCTCTTTATATCCTCTTCAGCTTACCAAGTTGCTTCTTCAGCAAATAGGTTCCTCCAAAGGATCTTAACTAACACAACTTTCTTTGTTTTGAACTTGCGATCTTGGCGATCTAGTTACTAAACCAGAATCTCTTTATAGGAAAAGCTATCCATAATCCAAAAATTCTCATTTGGTACTATCAATGAATTATTACCCAATCACTTCTTCAACATAGAAATATGAAATACTGGATGAACCGCTGCTAACTCTTGGGGTAGCTCTAACTCATGAGATACATTGCCAACTCTCTTGGAGATTATATAAAGACCAATATACCGGGGACTAAGTTTCCCCTTCTTACCAAACTTCATAACCACCATCATGGGTGAAACTTTCCTATACACCCAATCATCCACCTCAAACTCAATCACCTTCTCGTAACATCTATATAGGACTTTTGCTGACTTTGTGCCATTTTCAATCTATGTTGAATCACTTTCATTTTCACCATATTTTGGTGAACTAGATTTGGTCATATCAATCCTACTTCACCAACTTTGAACCACCCTATAAGAGATCCGCATCTTATACCATAAAGAGCTTCGTATGGAGCCATTTGGATGCTCGAATGATAGCTATTGTTGTAAGTGAACTCAATGAGAGGTAAGTTATCACCCCGATTCCCTTAGAAATAAATAACACAAGACCTCAACATATCTTCTAAATTCTGGATAGTATGCTCTGCTTATTTGTCCATTCGTCTGAGGATGAAAAGAAGTGCTTAAGTTCACCTTCGAACCCAAAACCTTATGGAAAGACTTCTAAATCTGAGCAGTAAATTGTGCATCTCTATATTAAATAATGGAGACCGGAATAACATGAAGTCTTAACACTTTATGAATTTAAAACATAACATAATCCTCGGCCGAATGTATGGTCTTCACCGACAAGAAGTGGGTTGATTTTTTCATTCTATCAACAATTACCCAAATTGAATCATGCTGTCTGCGGGATCTTGGCAAGCCAGTGATGAGACCATATTAATCATCTCCCACTTCCAGTCCTAATGTTCTATCTTATGAGCCAACCCTCCAAGCCTTTTGTGTACCACTTTAACTTGGTGGCAATTCGGCACTTGGCAACAAACTCAACTATGTCTTTTCTTCATGCGTTCCCACCAATATACCTCTCTCCATTCGCGGTACATATTGGTGGAACCCGAATGAATGGAATATATAGAGATATGATCCTTCTCCATGATCTTCTCTTGGAGTCCATCCACCCTAGGTACAGCTAACCTACCTTGGTGCTTCAGCACACCATCTTCCCTTTGTTCAAAATCTAATACTCTTTGTTTATGAACATTTGCCTTTAAATCAAGGAAAATGGGGTCTTGGACTTTCTTTTGTTTTACCCTCTCACAATAGTGATGATTCATCCCCATTAGTCACCACTATCCCTCCTGTATGGAATCCACATCCTTAGTTAACTCCCTTTTTTCTTCCTCAACATGGGTGGTTCTCTCGCAATAACCTACTCAAAGCATCAACAACCACATTAGCCTCACCTGGGTGGTAAAAGATACCCATGTCATAATACTTGAGTAGTTCTGACCACCTTCTTTGTCTGAGATTGAGTTCCTTCTAGGTGAACACATATTGTAGGCTCTTGTGGTCAATGCATATATCCAGACAAACGCCCGTACAAAAACTGGCGCCATATATTCAAGGTTAAAATCAACATAGCCAACTCGAAGTCATGGGTTGAATAATTCTTCTCATGGACCTTCTACTGTTTGGAGGCATAAGCTATAACCTTGCCATTCTACATTAACACACAGCCCAAACAAACTCTTGATGCATCACAATACACAACAAAACCTATAGTAAGTACCCTTTGGTTAAGTCAAACCCCAAATGGAAATTAACCTCTTTTTCAACTCCTCAAAGCTTTTCTCACAAGCATTAGACCATTGAAACTTAACTTGGTCAAAAAGACGAAATACATGAAAACCCCTCAACGAATCTCCTATAGTAGCCAGCCAAATACTAGAAACTCCTTATATCAGTTGGAGACGTGGGCCTAGGATAAATTTTAACTACTTTTATCTTTTGGGTATCAACTTGAATCCCATCACAAAAATTGATGTGGCCAAAAAATTCTACTGAGTTGTGCCAAAACTCACACTTGGAGAACTTGGCATATAAACCCTTATCTTTTAAAGTTTGAAGAACAATCTTGAGGTGACTAACATGATATTCTTCACTCCTTGAATAAATTAGTATGTCATCATAGGGTTTGAAGACTCTGTTCATAATATCCATGAATGGTGCAGGCGCATTAGTCAAACCAAAGGACATAACCAAAAACTGATAATGCGAATATCTGTTTCTTAAAACTGGTCTAAAAGATCCTCTATCCTTGGAAGAGGATACTTATTCTTGATGGTCACCTTTTTCAATTGGCGGTATTCATACACTTCCTAAGGGAACCATCCTTCTTTCTCACAAACAAGACCATAGCTCCCCTAGGTGAGACACTTGGTAAAATAAAACCTTTATCTAACAAATCTTTCACTTATTCTTTTAACTATTTTAACTCTGTTGGTGTCATTCTATATGGTGGAATAGCGATAGGACGAGTACCTATAATGATATCTATGCCGAAATCTATTTTTCCCTCAAGAGGGACTCCGGGTAGATCATTAGGTTAAACTTTTGGGAACTCTTTTACTATAGGAACTGACCAAAGGAAAGATACCTCAACACTTGAGTTATTAACTTGGACTAAGTGATAGATACATACCTTTAAAACTAGCTTTTTCGCCTTAAGGTACGAAATAAAACGACCTTTAGGCAGTGTTGAACTACTACTCAACTCTATGGCTGGCTTGTTAAGAATTTGAAACTTGAGAACTCGAGTTATAAAATCTATTTATACATAACAGTCATGAAGCCAACAGATACATAGAATGACATCAAAATCTACCATGTCAGCCATGGTGTTCTTGTGATTGATAGAGATAGGAAAATCATGATGGACTCTTTCTGCTAGAATAAACACTCGAACAGGGATAGAAACACAAGAAGGTTCACAAAATTTCTCAGGAAGAATTTCAAATTAATTTGCAACATAAGGATTTACAAAAGATAAACTATCTCATGGGTATAAAAAAGAATAAACATCAAAAGTAATGACTTTGATCATTCCCGTGACAACATCTAGAGAGTTGTCTTGATCTCGGAAGCTAGTGATCACATAGAGACGGTTTGCCCTTCGCAAGTACTAGAAGTGGCTCCTCTAGGTGCAACCCTGTCTAGTGGAGCAAGTGATGAATATTGAGCTTTATTGTCCAGATTTCCACCACCTTGCTTATTCTTAGGGAACTCTCTCATAAAGTGAGCCTCTTGACCACATTTGAAGCAACATGTCTGGACATCATGATATTTACCTTTGTGAGTTCTCCCACACTTAGCATATGTAGGAGCCCAACTACTCCCTTGTGCCATGCTTCCCTGAGACTGTGCTGGCATAGCTTTGTAGTTCTGTGAATTCTGGCCATTGTACTCACCTCTGTTTTTGGGCACAAGTGCACTTGCAGATGATGGTGCATTCCCATTATGTTTTTGAAATTGTTGCCGATTTGAACCACCTTTATGCTGCCCAGACTCAATCCTAATCTTGGTTTTCTTGTTTCTATACTCCTTCTGTACCTCAGATTCTTTTCTTCAACTTGCAGCACATAGACCATCAATCGGGATATATCCATGCCACCGATCAACATTGCAACTCTAACCTGTTTACTAGATGAACGACCCAAACCAGTAACAAAACAAACTGATTCTGCTCTTCATATCCTTAACCATCTTAGGAGCATACCGAGATAGTTGGGTAAATTTCAGTCCGTACTCATGAACACTCATAGATTCCTGTCTCTGAGTAAGAAACTCTTGTACCTTTTCCTCCTTCAGTTTTCGGGGAAAGAACCACCCCAAGAAAACCTCTTCAAAACAAGCCCATCTTGGATGCAATGCATCCCAATTTTTTCTCCCCTTCCACTAGTCGAACCAAGTCCTATCCACATTCTTCAGTTGATGCAGCTAGCTCAACCCTTTCAGTACCAAACACAGGCATCACATTAAACACCTACTTCAACTCTTCCACAAATTTTTTTGGATCCTCAGTAGTGCTTGAACCAAAAAATCTTCGGGGATTCATTCTCAGGAATTCAAAAAACCTCGAGGTGTTAGACTTTTCCTCTTGAGATCCTCTCTGTTTCCTGACTTGTTTAGTCACCGCTTGTTTTAACATCTGAATAGCCTCACAGAACTCAGCATCGGTAACTTCTCCTTGAGTTTGCACTTCGGGTACATTAAGTACGTCCATATCATCTACATTTCTTTTGGATGGACGACCTATGGCTGCTCTTCATCGAGGATTGATGATCTGAAACACGTGCAAGCATGAATTAGAGGAAAATGTTATAGAGATAAACTCTAACGCACGAAAAGGAGCATGAAAGAAGTGAGAAATTCCTAAATGTTGTAGCCTTCTAATCATAGATGTGACGCGCTTCACACTGATGTCTATGACTCTACAGACACAAATTCATAGACATCTTAGGACTCTGGAACTTTGTGCTCTGATACAAAGTTTGTTACTCCCCAAACCTATACACTGGACGTGGCCGAAACCCAATGACCATTGCTTGTCTTGAGCGAACCCTTGTCCTGAGTAATTTAACTCAGACTTAGCTTAACTCAATTATACACGTAAAGAACATTCTCATGAGAAATACTTTAAGTGATATTGTTTGGTCAAAATGGATCTTTTAGTCTCTTCGTTTACACATAAAATGAAAAGACCTATAACTATATGTATTTGTCTATGAAGCCTCTAATAGTAATAAGATGAATGTTGGCACAAACCCCATAAAATTCTATAATTAAAAGACTGCAGTAAAAGAGTCCTCCAAATGCTAAGAGGCTCACCACTGACTCTAGATGCTCAAACTGGTCAACAAAGCACTGGATGTTGATCCTTCTTACCTGTGTATACATCATAATACGATGCATGCCAACTGGCATCATTACCTTGAATATACAAGTATGCTAGTTTGAATGCTAACAAAAACTTAAAGCTTGAAAGGACTAAGAGGAACTTACCTTGGCTTTGCTCAACTAATGAAATACTAACTCAATATAAAGCAATAAAGAAACATGCACTTTATGTATAAGACTCGTAAAACAGTGTAAACAACTTAGCACGTTAAAGATAATGCAATAACAACTGAATTTTACTTAAAATGAAAGTAATATAGTTTTTGTGGGAGATTCTCTAACCGAAAACCACTACTATGATCCTATATGGTGATATGTTGTCTTGCCTACGCTTCTAGAGCTGTTCTATACTTTGTCGTCACATAAAAATCCTTTACAGAGTGGATCCACTAGCTTAACTTATGTAATCATCTAAAAAGTATGACTTGTCAATACCAATGATGAATACATGATATACATGGAGACTTGAGTCAATATGAACTCTCATCCCCAAATCGGTGCTCAATACTACTCCCAAAATATACTTTAGCTCATGCTTTTGAAATAACGTTGTTTCTTTGGGTTAACATAACTTTTTCAACACTTAGCTTTAAAATCTCTTCCGGAATCGACGTTCCATTTTCTTGTTAAAAACTCTTCTGGGAAATCTTAGTTTCTTCTTAACTTAAATGTAAAAATATTTATACACTTTCTAGGGAATACTTAATTCCCTTATATCCTTTGAGAAATGAACTCAACTTTTACTCTTTACTTAACTTGAAACTTAAGTCTTAAAACAAAGTTAAAACGTCTACATAAGACTCTCGAAAACCTTTAAGAACTTTACTTTAATTTACTTCTTAGCTTTACACTTGACTTCTTAACTTCCTTGACATTGATATTAACTTTCCTTGAATTAAATTATGGATTCAAGGTTCATTATCTCATTTTAAGGATGATTTCATGATGTTTAAATGTACCTTAGAGTGATGGAATCAAGTAAGAAGTATGGGTACATCACGTGGGAACTAGTACGAAAAGTTGGGGAATGGACAGGGTCTCTAAGCAACCTAGCTCTCTGAGAGTCGCGGGGCGCCAGATCCTGATGGACAGACTCTATCCTGATTCACTCTGGCTGGTGTGGCGCGTAGATTATTATGGATAGATACTGTCCTTGGGGGTTCTGGTAGGCGCGGTGCCCCAAGGCTTGTCAGACGAGATTTTCATCTTTTCTTCACCGTTTTCCAACTCTGAACGTTCTAAACTTCCATGGATCTCACCCCAATCACTTAGGATCACTAATAACTTCAATACCCAACCTATTATACCCAAAAATCAATCCAGAAACACGAATACAATCAACTAAAACATGCTACAACTCAACCAACAAGAATTTAGCCATTGTTCTTAAAAAACTTCAATGTTCATCATCCATTCCATCCAAACGTCTCTGAATTAAACAAATTTGTGTATGGGTGCACTAAACCAACAAATAAATATTTCACATACCTTATAGGGATCACCCTCGCCAAATTCCACTCGAAGATCTTGGCGTTCTTGATGAATTTTTGGTGTTTTCTCCTTTATCCTTCTTCTCTTCTCTTTTCTCCCAAGCTCTAAGTGTATTCCAAATTTCTAAAACTAAATTAAGGCTAGGTTTTAACCCTAATAAGCCTTTAAAACGAATTAGGAAATAGTAGGGTGCACAGACTACTTTACCCTAACTAAAATCCGGATTGGGACCTTTCTTAGTCCAATAGCCTAACATTCGATAAACATATATCCCTCATACGATATAAAAATGCACAAACTCGACGGTGTTGGAAAGATATATACAAGGGTTTCCAATCATATGAATAATTTACCCTAACTCATCTTGGGCTAGAAGTTATGTCCATTTAAAAATGACCAAAAACTCACTTTTTACTCTTAAGAAATTTCCAGATTTTTCCTACTCTTTCCTAAAATGATAAATTTTAGTTTCTTAGCTTATTCCTAACTCTTTCGAGTTACGAGATGTTACAGAAAGATTGGCTAAAGTAAGGGTATAGTATTATCCGAATTGTCAAAAGAAATTGTCTCGCATGTCCTTAGTTTCCAGACATCATGATCAAGGATTTCAACTGTTCTTCCTCACAGCGATTTAACAACAATGAGTCTCATAATCCTCATCTGGAGCCAACAATTTAATACCTATATATCCTCTCATACAATACCTAAATGAATTCATCACAATACTCTTGTGATAGTTATTGTTGTATGCACACTAAGCTAACCACAAAGTTATTCCCAATAACCATCAAGTTAATTGAAACACGTTTACAACTTGTTATCAAGGACCTTGACACAATCATCCTTACTAATCCTTTAGCACTTAAAAAAAATAAAATTCCAAGGCAATACTCACTATAAATAGAAGTAAACCTAAATCAACCAACACACACTCATAATACCCGAAAAATCATAGTTCTTAACAACATCTCCATCTCATAACATAAATTTCCATAAGGTTAAGTTAGAAAATTTGATCTTTAGGTGTTAGATACGCATCGAGGGATATTTCAAAGCATACAAACCCTCTAACCACACTATCGAATGATGATTTAGCAATTATGATTATACATTACCCTTAAGAATAATAGAATTGGACCCAATAATCCCCATATTCAACCACACACAATCACGACACAAGTTGAAATATTAGATTGTTAAACAACCATAAATACGGAAGGTACATCTTCAATAAATTTTCTTAAGAAAGTGGTACATGTCAAACAACAAAAATACTTTAACAACTCTAAAGCAACACCAATTATGTCAATCGAAATAATAAAATCTTCCAACTTTCTCTCTCAAACAAGAGAGCATCGCAGGACTTGCTACCCCTAAGCCACCATTAAGGATCCACACCCAAAAGTGAAAATACACTAGAGCATAGATGGTGAATCATACTCACAATACTAACAACCATCATTAAAACTCCGATATTTACCATAGGAACTTAACTATCAATAGTAGTAAACTTACGACTCAACCCAGGTCTAAGTCTTTTCAAATTATCAATACTAGGTACAATTGATCATTTGTCACCATTCCAATTCATACCTTGACAAAATATATCACTAGAAATGTAGATTTACAATAAAAACTATGAATTGTAATCTGAACTATATAACACAATCCCCTTATCTATCAACTTTAGCTTATACCTTCAAGAATATTATGAAGTCCCAGATCTTTGCTAATGATTGATCGATCTCCATCAATATCTAAATATCTTTTCGCTTAAATTTCAATGTCACTCATTACAAAACTCAAAACAAAACAAGCACTTATTATCACACCTAAGATAATGTTTTTACACTCTTTTATCAAGTTCTTTCCAATAGTTTTTAACCAATCTTACGGACTCGTGACACTATTACATAGCCACATAAAACAAATGAAATAACATTTCTCTGAACTTAATTATGTACCTCTCTGTATATACCTCTTTAGCCTTAAGAATAAAATAAAATATTCTTGCTCTCGCCTCTCTCTAAAGACTGTAATACATACTACTAATTTTTTTCATCATGAATCTATCTCTTTAACATCCTATTCGAGTGGTGTCATTCCATATTTTATAATGTTCCCTACAACAACGTTACTCACCAAGTATTAGAAACCCCGAACTAGGATACTCGCAAGTCATAATTACATTACCAAAAGTTCACTTACCCAATAATTTTATTATATAGTTGCATGTTGTTATAATCCATCACGTACTCTTACTGCCATTATGCCTCATCGCCTTGAATATCACTACGAACTCAACCTTTCAACAACATGACACCTCAAATTCAGGTAAACTCATCATATTCAAAGGACTAACCCCATTTTATATGCATCTTTATTCTAACTACTTTAATTTCCTTAACCAAAGTATACTCAATGAGAATTTGATTATCCGTTAGATGGTCATTCCGGTATTAATCCACCCCTTTATGGATCATGATAAATTCATCGATCCTCTACCACCCTCCTTCTTCTTAACAACCAAGCTAGGAGAACCCCAAAGAGAAGCACCAGGACGAACGAAACCTTTATTATGAAGCTCTTGGTTTTGAGCCTTAAGATCTCTTATATATTGTTGAGCCGCACGATATGGAGGGATGGAAATGGGATGAGTGCTACTTTCCAAGACAATGAAAAAAATCAATATATGTCTCTAGAGGCACACAAGGAAAATCCATAAAAAACACTTCCTTAAACTCAGATACCATAGGAACAAACTTTATTGAAGGAGACTAAAGCTCAACATCCCAAACATGAGCTAAATAATCCAAATGACCCTGCCCTACCAAT